ACCAGACAAGCTGGTAGATTTTGTTTAACGTAAATAACAACTCCCCCCTTTTTCCCAGGAGCAGAAGATACAAAGTGAGATCCCAGACGAGCATTAACTAAATATTTCTGATCCTTAAGTAAAATATGAGTTTCCTGTAAGCAGATAACATCATTGTTGTGTTGCTTCAAATAATAAAAGATTTTTTTTCCTTTTCTGAGGAGAGTTCAATCCATTAACATTCCAGGTCAGAAACTTTGCCATCACTCTTGGTCCGCAGCCTGGAGAAGACACCTTCAAGATCTGCCATTGCTGCATGTGTTGCATAACTCTTGGGTCTTGCTCCTCCCACCGGCGATGATGCACTTTCAGAAGAAGTTTCTTTAGCCTCTTTCTTACGTTGCTCCTTCTCTTTACGTCTATAAGCTGCACGAGTCATTCTCTGCTCTTTAACCTCCGTTTGGCGTTGCCATTCAACTTGCAGCATCCCAGCGGAAACCAAACCTAATGCCTCGGATTGCTGCTCCACCTCTTTACCACTCAAAGATTTCTGAACAGGTAAAATTGAGCCTGCACCCAGGACCGTGTTATAAAACTCTCTAGCTTTATCAACCGTATTCAATCTGTGACGTGTCCCCGCATGGCTCAAAACAATACCCATCGGGATTTCCCATCTAAATGGCATCAATCTAGCTTTAAGCTCATTAGCTAGAAAAGCAAAATCTTTCCTGCTTCTTAGAATTTTTGATGGGATTTCCTTTAAGATAATGACATCTTGGGCAGCGATCTGGAATCTTTTATTATAAAAGGCTTGTATAATCTCATTACGCAGAGACTTCTTTGTAAAATAAATCACCACATCTCTAGGCAAATTCTTCTGCTTAGCAATCCAAGAGTTAAGTCTATAAATTTTTTCCACTTCTCCACGCAATTCTCCTTTATCCATATTCAGAACCACAGTTAAATCAGTAAGGACCACCTCCATCAAATCTTGATTCTTATCTTCCTTGAGGCCTCTGATCCTCAAGGCATACTCCATCTGTCTGTACTGAAACATCAAAATATCTTCTTGTGAAGTCTCCACCTTCCTTTCCACCTCTTGGATTTTGTCATCAAAAGAATCAACTTTATCTTCGACTTCCTCCAGTCTTGCATCCAGCTTCACCACCACCGTAGCCAGGCCTGAGACTGCTGCAAATATATCTTGTCGCAAAATGTTGTTATTATCTTCCATTTGATCCTTCATCCCACTTATCTCTTCTTTAAAGTCAGATTTAATGTCTGATTTAATCTGTATAGCAAATTGCTTCATTTCCTCTCTCAGTTGAGCTACAGCATCTCCCATTATGCCTCTAGCCTCTTGTGCTGAAAATCCTGGCAAAGGAGGGGAGGGTGGTGGCTGAGCCGGTGGTGCATGTTTAGATTGTTGTTGTGGTTGTGCAGTAGAGGTTATAGGAGAAGAAACCACCTTGGATATTGTAGAAGGCGGCTGTCTCTTTGAAGCCATTTTAAATCACTTCCCTTTCCCCCAAAAAAAGAAAGGAGGGGGAGAGAGAAAAAAAGTTTTTCCTTCTTTTAAAAGAGACAGCAAAAACACTATAATCCTTAGAAATCCAGAGAGAAAAAACCAAAAAAGAAATCAGAAAAAGGAATTCAATACCAAAGGCAAAAGCAAAATCCAGTCCTTAAAGAGAAAAAAGAAAAATGAAACAAAAGGCAAGGAAAAAAAAACTCCGACACTTTCAAAACGCCATCTTAATTCCTTTGTCCAAACTAATAAAAAGAACAAAGGAGAAATAATCAAAGCTAAATAAAAAGAAATTAAAAGCCTAAACTATATAAAAAAAATCCTTTAAACCACTCTGTCCGTTATAATAAAAAAACTACTCACCAATACACTATAAGCACGGAGATAGAAGCGGCGGTTTCTTTTGCTTCCTAGGAAGCAAAAACAGCTGGGAGGCGGAGATCAGCAGGAGCTCCGAGGGAACGCTCCATTCACCCCCTCTAGGAAAAAATCCAGAGGGAGTGCAGGGGTTCTACCTCTACTCCTGCGTTCTCTGTCCCTTCCCTTTGCCCGGGAAGGGAATTCCGAGCCGCGGGCCAGCTGATAGACACTGCGCTCCTCGGTTCTGACACCTTCCCAGCTGGACGGCTACAAAGTAGCCGCCATCGCCGTCGCCTTGTACCGGAAGCTCCCATGTAATTTTGAATGAGAGTTAATTGAACGCTCGTAACTCGGGGATTACCTGTATCTCATTTAAAGCAGATCAGCTTTGCGTCTAGAATTGTCTGTGTTTAATTGTTGAAGTTATTACCAGTCCACAAGTCATTTCTCTTCCTTTGGGATTAATATTTTATTAATATGTTGTTTCTGTTATTAAATATCAATTCCACTTAGTGTTCTGGTTCCCTCCCCCCCCAATTTGCTTGTGCCAGTGAGAAACATAGTACATGTGTATAAGAATGTGACATTGTCTGGCTTGCATTAAAATATATAGTACTTGATTTGCATGCTGAGATTACCATGCCCACAGAGAAAGTGATCCTTTAAAGAAAGGGGCATCTAGGAAAGCTTTTTTTTTTTTTAATATTCTGCATTTAAATGTTCATTTTTCTTGCAAATTATTGTACATTACTAAAAATGTGCTCATGACTTAGAATGCTTGTAAAAGAGATTAACCAATTCACAGGAATAGATATGTAATTGATAGTGACCATGCTACCTCATTAGAACTTTAGTATTCAAGGCAGTGGACCACAATGCATCAGTTCCTTTGGTTGAGAAGGATAACAAGATAAGGTTGTTTTTGCTCACAAAAGACAGCTGTCTGGCTACTATTAAAATGCATGTGGGATTACATGATCTGTGGATCCGAAACAGACAGGTTCATTTTATAGCCCATATTATTCATTTTTAGAATCCAAGTCTTATTAACTTGTAAAGCCAGCATAGAATCCAACATCACAAAATCTTGCCCATTTCCATTAAACCAATCATTAATTGCTTTCTCTTGTTTTCATACAGTGAAAATCTTAATTGTGTTCTTGGCCCCAATCGCATATGTAACATATGCTTTTATTTAATCCTTGCATCATGAAACAAGAAAGACTCCTGTAAAAAATGCCATGCTCTCAAGTGGTGATGACAGAACTGCACTGCATAAACACAAATACGAAGCGATTCCTTTGAACAAAAAGTACACTTGATTTAAAATTAAGTTTACATATAAAAGGCTAAGTTAACAGATCCTCCAGCTGAATTTTAGATTGCAAAACTGGTTCATTTTATTTTGATGATTAATACACTCATATTATGCATATAAGAAACTTTCTTAGGAGTGCAGTATATAAATCTTAAACAATGAGCAATTTTACAATACAATACAATACAAATGTCATCAGTTTAAATATACTTCAATATACCAACAATGTGTTGACTGGTATTTATACAATGTTGTTTGAAATAGTAATCTGGAAGTGTTATATATAATTCAGAGCTGTTTAAAATAATCATTTCAAGGAACAATTTCAATTTTATCAAAATCTCCTGTGCAAAAGTACTTAATTAGACTAAATATATATGTTCTCTTTTTTGGAGACAGGAATAATTACTGCCTACAAGAACATAATTTAGAAATTCCCTCTGAACAATTGGTAGTAATATCCCTTTAAGTATCAATAGCCATGTGTTAATGTATTTCCATTATTTACTCAAACGTATACTCAGGGGAGTGTGGTTTAGAGCACCTCACTTCTCCACTAATTCTCAGCAGCTCCTTGCCAGTGTTGCACTAGGGAACCATAGTTACTGCACCAACAGAAGTGCAGAGGGGAAATACCATATTTAAAAGACCATGTATATACAAGAGTCAAAAATTATGTCACTTCCTTCCTGTACGGTGCCCAAAACATGGGTCAGGAATAATGCCAGTTCTGAAGTTAAATTTCTTATAGAATAAGTTGCTATATAAAAAGTTAAGCCGTTTATATATTTGATTTTCATTTTCAAACTTTTCACTGATGGTCTCATTTTAAGTAAAAAATAATAATCTTAGGCTCCAGTCACTTTACACCATGAGCATGATTAATCTTGTGGTTTTGGAACATTAATTGCAATGTTTTAATATGTGTTTTTTTAAAATAATATTTAGAGTTTCTACTATAGGGATAGGCAATTTGTGTCAGCCATATTCCAAAATTGGGTAGGAACAAGTCCCAGTTGGGCAATTTCAAAAGGTTCTAGGTGTGAAATGGATGTTCACAAACCTTTAAGGCACCACTTTTAACTCTTAAAACCCTGAACTGCATAAAAGAAAAAAGACTAATTTGGGAGATCCTCCAATTAGGACCCCAGGAGGAGATACATGGGTGTCAGTTTTGTATTGCAACTTGAGTAGAAAATAAAACATAAAGGTTCTAAATAACTAGAATAGGTAGAGTAAGATTTATTTTGAGGTGACAGTCTGTCTTGTCTAAGCAGAAGAACATGCTCTGAATCCACAACTGCTTTTGACAATGGAAGGAAAAGCAACGAATTACAGTTGAACTAATAGATTTTTTTTAATTTATGTATTTGCTCCTCGCAGAGTAAATACTATTTATGTTAGAATTGTATTCGGTCTATTTTGATTTCTTGTAGACTATTGCGTTTATTTTCAAGGAGAATTTTATAGAAAATCTTTGGAAGAAGTTCTTGCATATTGAATAACCTTAGGATAAGAGTAACATTGCCAAATCTTGTTTTAACACAGGCACATACCTACTTTGAAATAAATATTTTAGGAAAGACTGGTAAATAATTTGTGTATTCTATGAAATAAGAGAATCTATTTTGCTACAGCATGATTATTGCAAGTGATTAACATTATAAAAATATATTTTACTTGCTATATAATACTGTGCTAATAAAACTATGTATTATGATTTGCACCTCTACCAACCTTTTAGTATATAATATCCTTGAGATCATATTTTTTCAAGCTGCTATACTGTGCTAATATAATTTTTTGTCATTTCAGAAATATGATGCAATAACATGTACATCCCTGTGTATATGAAGTGTTTTGGCACCCAGAATATATGAATAGAAATATTAGTGCATTGGAAATTAAAGGAGACAATGCTTTATCCAAATATGATCTGAATGTCTGAAGCAATGTCATTCTTCTCTTTTCAAAGGAGGAACAGCTGAGCCCTTGAAATTACCTATTCAATAGTTAGCAGCTGGATATTAGGCTAAGCTGGCCCATATTGAGTCAGTGGTTATACCACTATTGTATTTTTAATATAAATTATTTTTGCTATATTTTCACATTTATTAACACTCATGCATTTAGGTTTTAAATAAACTTATAAAATGATTCTACAGTTTTATTTTCTATAGCTAGACCAGACAGAAGAAACAGTAGACTCTGTGCAACAATGATAGAGTAACACACTGTGCTGAATTGCAATGTATTTTGGTTTTGGCATAGCCTGCTTTGTAAATCTGATTACTGCAGCCTGTAAACTTGGTTTATGACTGAACATGTTGAGTAAAGCTAGCCTGCAGCATCATATTAAACAAATAATAACTTACCATGCTTGTGAAAGCAGCCATCCTTTTTCAAAAGCAATTTCTTTCTGCCACTGTGGATTTTCCTGCGCTAATGGAACAAAGGTACAGGTAGTCCTCAACTTACAACAGTTAATTTAATGACCATTCAAAGTTACAACAGTACTTAAATGACTTATGACCATTTTTCACAAAACCATTGCAGCATCCCAGTGATCACATGATCAAAATTCAGATGTTTGGCAACTGACTCATATTTATGATGGTTACAGTGTCCCAGGGTCATTTGATCACCTTTTACAACCTTCTGACAAGCAAAGCCATATTCACTTAACAATCATATTACTAATTTAACAACTGCAGTGATTCACTTAACAACTGGGAAGAAAGGTCATAAAATGAGGCAACTCATTTAACGATTGTCTAGCTTAGCAACAGATATTTTGGGTTCAATTGTCAAAGTCAAGGACTACCTGTAATGACAGAACAACTACTATGATTAGTAGATCCAAGGAAGTAAGGAAATTCATTCTGCACTACATTTTAATGTTTCAATTTGCAATGTAAATTTTATAGTGGGCAAGGGGAAAAAAAGCTATCATGGCATCTTCAAAATGTTAACTCCTGTCAAAGGTACTGTATAACAGTGCCACTCTTTCTAATTAATTAAAATATTACATCTGGGAAGCCTGTCCTGAGAGTTTTATAATTATTGTTCTTGAAAAATAAGGCTGTGTGATTAATCACTTCTTCAAGAAAATCTGGCGGTGGGTGAATTAGCTGATGATCAAGACCAAGCATTAAAGGGTCTGCATTGAAACTCCCTCTTAAAAAGGGCTCTGTCAACCAGAATAGAAAGATAATTGCAAGATAACCAAGCCCAAAATAAGGTACATTAAATTTGAATGTCTTATACTTTGCAAGTGTAAGTTTACAGTCAAGATAAAAATTTGTTTAATTGCCATTGGCCCCTTAAGAGAAGATAAAGGGGGGGGGGGAGAATCCACATTTCCAGAATATATTCACAAACATTTCAGGAGGCCAGAATTAAATCAGGTTTTGTCAAAGGTTATGAACCAACTTCAGCATGCTTCCAAATACATACTAGGCAACATAAAATGAAATCTTGTCCAAAATTTTTCCTATATTGACTTTCTATAAATGCTGCTGCTATGTTATCATTACACTGGACACAAATTTCATCGCATTTACAAAAGACAGCATGAAAATAGAAAGAGTATTCATGTCTCCCAACAAGAATGGATTCCATGCTTTCCTGTATAAAATAGAGTTCTCAAAATTCTCCCAACTCAAATTTAGAATAGCGATAACCTGGTATTTCAGTTACTTATGCCAGCTTTTTAAAAAGCTTTGGAGCATTTTATCTGCCGTGTATTTAAAATATAGTTCCTTAACAATTGCCCGGTAACAGCTTTGATTATTTTGTGTACATTCTCCCTTTCTCTTTATGGCAGGGGTCTTCAAACTTGGCCCTTTTATGACTTGTGGACTTCAACTCCCAGAATTCCTCAGGCATGCTGGCTGAGGAATTCTGGAGTTGAAGTCCACAAGTCATAAAAGGGCCAAGTTTGAAGACCCCTGCTTTATGGTAACCAGGTGCACAAATATTCATCTGTTGGTGTCTGATATAACTATTCTCTGGTTTGCCTAATTGCTTGCCTTTAAACAGTGATTCCAGCTTTGTTTGGATTCTCAAATGCCCTAATGATTCTTTTCAGAATGGTTCCAAATGGTCCATCTATGGAAATCCCCATCACTGTGTTACTCTGACAACCAACCAATCATTTCTATGCTCCATAAGGCCAGGAGTAGCTGGTACTCGTGGAATGCATTTGCATGCTTTTGTGACATGTCAACACTACAGCCAGAGCTTCCAAATGCTCCATGCTCCAGTGCAGTCTTCTCTGTTTTCCAAGCACAAGGAGAAAACCTCTTTGCCCTGGTGAAATGTGGCTCCCTGTAGAAATTGTTAGTAGTGTTTTAAGTACTTATATTTCTTTCTACTCATCATTGTTCTCCCTACTGACTTTGGAAAAGTATGGTTGGTGATGTGGGATAGGCTTTTCTCAGAAGATGGCTTCACTGCTTGGTACTGACGTCATGTTCCTCTGTTGAAACTGAAGGCCTAATCTCTCAAACCTTATTTTTCATCTGCTATGCAATGCAAGATTAGCCTGTAATAATACCATTTATGGGTGACATATACATTACTAAAACCTGGGGAACATATTGGGTTTCTCCTCTCAAAAATGTGCCTTTCCTGAGTTTAAAGTGTGACATTAACTACAGTCCTGACCAAGGATGGTGGTATGGCTGTTATCATCTTAATATCCGTGGTAGGTTTCAGGGGAACTGCATCAGCCATAACCAGATGTGAATCCCTGTGAAATTCAACCAAAGAAATCAATTGGGATTGCAAGCATTGTACCAGCCTTCATGCAGCATAGTAGTTTTCCTTTTTCCAATCGATCCTGTAATCCAGTTCATGGAATTTCCCAAGCTATTTTTTCTAGGAGAACTCAACATGCTTTCTCTGACCAGAGAATCAGAGGTGGGTTGGAGGTTACAGCCACCATGGCAATCTGATCCAGATTATTGGATATCCTACTCACAGGAGAGAGCATTATACATTAGATCTGACTTTTACCTTGGGTAGTGGAAACATAATTTGGTATGCCATGATGTGACATTAGTCTTTTGTTAGACACATCACTCCCTCTTAACTTTGGAGTGCCATGTCACTTACCCATCTACAGTATAGGGAGGAAGTACATATTGAATCAGTTCACAGCTGACTGATGGACTCAAAAGGAACTTAGAATTGTCTCTAAAGCTCTGCCCTGCAGCCCAACTGAGGTTTTAGTTGCAGCTTGAAATGAGTGGGTGACAGTGGCCTTGGACATGATCACATCTGTATGGACTCTCTCTCTCCCACCCTGTGGTTTTCAGAATACAAAGAGTAAATTCAACCAAGTCCAGGTAAGAACTTTTATCAAGGTTTACCTAAAAGCAGCAAATCAGGGTGATTTCCCCATTCTTACCACATCTGCAGATAGCTGGCAAACAGCACTGTTTCAAGTGATTGGAACCCTTGATAAGAAGTCTGGGGAAACTTTTGCAGGGTTTCTGTGAGGATTATTCTAAGCGTCAGTTAGTTATTTGAAATTGCTCAGAGCTAGATTCTGACTGGGCAGGTTCTATGGCAACGGTCCCCAACCTTTTGGGCACCACAACCGGTTCTGTAGAGAAAGGTTTTTCCATGGACCAGAGAGTGTGTGGTTTTGTGTGCTGCCAGCATCCCACGGATGGGGCTTGTTTGTGTGGACCAGTTGCTGGCATGCCGCGGCCCGGTACAGGTCCACAGACCAGGGGTTGGGGACCCCTGTTCTATGGAACTTACTGAGACATCTATGGAGATTCTAAGTCATCCAGGTAATGGTTGTCCCAAAGGTGGTTTTTCAAGAGGCAACTGGACTTTGTTTTTCTTTGAAACATTTCGCTTCTCATCCAAGAAGCTTCTTCAGCACTGAAGAAACTTCTTGGATGAGAAATGAAATGTCTTCAAAGAAAAACAAGTAAGTCCACTTGCCTCTTGAAAAAGCACCTTGGGATTACTGAGACGTAGTTTGCTTATCTGGGAAGTATTTCAACTGGAGGAAGTCCTTTGGGCTGTGAGTTCTGCCATGTGTTTTAGACTCATATTTCTTCCTGGCTGAAGTGAATTCTTTACATGAAGGGAATATTTCACCTATATTATAAGAGGGGATGGTCATAATTGGATACATCAGTATTAGACAAGTTTTATTAGTCTCCAACCTTCCCTTTGGGGGAAAAATTGTTGAAAGGTTGATCAGCATTGAGCTTCAAAGGGCCTTGAAGAAAATGAGATATCTGGGCCCAATTCAGCCTGATTTCAGGCCAGGCTATATCACTGAAACAGCATTGTATATGCTTGTGGATTATTTCCACAAGGTTTGGGATGGGATTGGTGCACCACTTTCTTGTCCACTTGTGTCTCTTGGTGGTAGTAGAGATCAATGATCATGATATATTTCTGAATTAATTTAGGACATTGAGAATGAGAGGCAGAGCTTTGTGGAAGTTCTCTTTCCAAGGCTGTTTCTAGCTGGTGTTGATAATGGGGGAGATATCTAATTCTAAACCTCTGTGGATATATGCCTCAATGTTTGACTTTTTCCACTCCTGAAGCTACAGCTTGAAGTCATGATGAGTATGCTAAAGATACCACTTTTACATCTCCACTCTGGGCTGTACATGTAATGCTGTGGAGATGCTGACCCAATGCCTGAGCCTGCAACTGTGGATGGGGATGAACAAATTGTGACTTAACTCTAACAAGACAAAACCTTGTTCCAGGTTTTCAGAATCTCTGGTTCTGGAGCTGTTATTTCTGAATGGGATAATACTCCTCCAGCCACACAGTTAGTGTACAATTTGGTGATGCTCCTGGACTCCTGCTTGATGAACAGGGGGCAGCTGTGGATTGTATGTTTTTGCACAAATCCATATTGTGCACTAACAGTGTTTGTTCTGACTAGGGAGGCTCTGCTCACAGTTACAGCTTGGTCACTTCCCATCTGGATTATTGCAATATGTTTTTCTTGGAGTTGACCTTGAAAAGCATTCAGGAGCTTCAGTTAGTCCAAAATGTAGCATCATGTGCAATATTGAATGCACCATACTACACTGCTTTTAATATGTTTCTAGATGCAATTCAGGGTGCTGTCAGCCTGTGCCTACAAAACAGTTATCTACATTACTGTTTGAGTGTTTATTCAATGTGTAACCTGTTAGTAATCTTCAGCTCATTTTCTTAAATAGTACATACAGTAGTAATAGATGATAGGACAGATGTTCACCAGCTGTCACCAGAGAAAAGATGAGCAGAAATTAGCAAGCTGTGTTCCTAGCATCAAACTGCTCAGATGAATCAAATACCTCTCCAGTTGCTGATTGTTTTGTAGAAGCAACCATATTTGTAG